CTATTTCTTCACACAGTAGCAAAGAATTTCTTACATGATTCCATAACTTTTCTGAAGTCCATACAAAAAGAGTCCCTTTGCTAAAGAGTAGAGAAATAATTTTCATCAAGAGACAGCCAAGAACTTAAAACTAGAGGAATGTACTTTTTGTACCCTTCATTCCTCCCCCAAGGGCTAAACAGAGCAAAAAGGAAGAAGTTTTACGTTCTAGCTAGAAATGTGCAGAACTGGTCACGTGGATGTTTTCACATCTTTTCTGATTGCTATCAACGGCTTCAATTTCACTTAAGTTATGCTTTTAATCTTCCAGTAATCTTTATATAGAATAGTAATAAACGATGATGAAAGTTCTAGAAATAAATATATTCATCTACTGAAAACAAGTCCAACTTTTTCAGAATCTGTTCGTGGACACCACCAGTTGTACAAGTAATACTGCAGATTGCTAACTCTTATACCAAATTTTAGCTTTTCCAAGATTGTCTTATTTTCCATCAAACCTAGTGCATTGAATACGTCAAATCCTTTCAGCTTGTCTATAATGAATGCATCATTCATGAGATCTAAGGGGGCATCTCTGTTGTAGAAGGACTACACAGCTTTGAGGCCCTGTGGACTGGGTAATGCATAACAGTTGAGGGGAGTGTGTAGAAGCTCAGGAAGTCAGTTAGTTTACCACTTGAGCTCTCTACTACAGAGGTGTACATAACGTGCTCCTGGGGAAGAAACCAGTGGGCAAGGGCAACTTCCTCTTCATCCATCACTGGAGCAAGATGAAACTGCTTCAGGTAACTGTTGATTAGTTCTTGGATGGCTTTGATGTCTTTTTGTTTCATTGGTCTCAAACCGGAAGTCTTTGTAACATCTGGAAGCCTGTATAGCTTCTCTGTAAAGACATATTTCTACTCAAGAGAGAAAATTTCACGTCTACCAATTTTCTGGGGTACATTGTCTTTATCTGGTTCAGTTGCACGGTGAGATGTTACTACTTCGTTTAGCTTGGGTAAGGGTTGTGTGTCCCAAAACAGGTATCTGTGTTTCACAGCTTTGTCAATGTACCTGACTGGGACCTGGCACGTGGATAAAAGCTCCGTTGCTTTCTGGATATCCTGCAGCTTCTGCATTGGGATGGTGGGATTTTTTTGATGGCTGCTGAATTTTAATCTACTGGGAATCAGATGCAGGCAGAATCTGACTTGGTGCCTCCGGAATTTAGCTTTTCCAATTTCCTGTTCTGTTTCTTCTTGGCTCCTAAATCTTCTCCAAAAGAGTTCCTTCTTTTGGCCTGCTCCTTCTCCTCATTGCCCCTGTCTATCCCACACGTGGCCTGATCGTCCAGCTCCAAGTTTTGCTGGCTGGCCGCAGACTCTCTGTCCTCCACCATGGCAGAGGCGTGGGCTGGGGTAGCTGTGCCGAGGAGTCTGGAGCTCTGAGTTGTGGGGAGGGGTCAGCGCTGCGAGGGGTCAGCGCTGCTAGGAGATGTCTCTTGATTGTTGCTTTTGTCCCCAAGTTGGCTTCAGATGAAGAAAGGATTGGAGCTGAATTATGGCTAGCTCTGGATTGTGGTAGGCATGGTAATAGACCCCCTGGGTTATCTGGAACCTGTGAATATGCTGTAATTTGAAAGTCGTGTTGAATTTGCAAATAGAATTAAGGGAGCTCTGGTGGCCTAGTGGCAAGAAGTTGCGCTGCAATCCCAGAGGCATGCAGTTTGAATCCACCAGATGCTCCTTGAGAAGGAGGGGCAGTCTCCTCCTTTGCCAGTTGGATCTGATTCGATAGCACACAACAAGGGGGGAAAAACCCCCAACCAACCCAAAACTAATAGAATTAAGGATTATCCTGTTGGGGCCAGTTTGAAAACCCAGACTCACTGCAATTGAATCAATTCCAACCTACAGTGGTCCTCTATTGGGATTCAGACAGGGGTCTCATAGCAAAAGTTCACAGAATCCTATAGGGCCTTCACAAGCAAAATCCTGTAATCTAGTCACAAAATGGGAAAAAGACATGAAAAGACTTCATAGAAGAGGACATTTGGATAGCCAAGAAATACATGAAGAAATTTTCAAAATCACTAACAATCAAAGAGATGCAGATCAAAATGACAATGAGATACCAACTCACTCTAGTAGCAGTAGCAAAGCTTAACAAAACAGCAAACAGTAAATGTTGGAGAGGATGAGATGAGATTGTAATTCTTATGCACTGCTGTTGGGATTGTAAAACGGTACAATTCCTGTGGAAGGCAGTTTGACATTTCCTCAAATGGAATAGCTGTGACCCAGCTATTCCTCTGCTAGGAATATATCCCAAGGAAATCAGAACGGAAACACAAATGAACATTTGTACACTTATTCATAGCAGTGTTATTCACAATAGCAAGAAAATCTAAATAATCCAAATGGCCATCAACATTCACAGGATGGAATACTATGCACCACTAACAAAAAACAACTTTGTAAAATACCATATGACTTGGGATAAATAGTGTGTTATGCTAGTAAAATATCTCAATCACATAAGGACAAATATTCAATAAAGTCACTATTGTGAAAATAGGATAATTCTGTAAGACATGTGTAAATGTCCAAGAGGGAGAGAATGGGGGAGGGGGGCTGAAAAAGAAGGGGGGAAAATCACTGGGCTATCAGAGGTTAGTGAGTAGGTGGGGTGAAGTAATAGAAAAGGTTCAGTGTGGAATTGAAAAGGTGGGGTGATCATAAGTATAGGACAATGGTAATTATATAAAATATAATATATATGAATGATTGTATAAAACAAAGTAATGTGTAAAACATGATATATATGAATTATTATATACAAACCAATACAAAAATGAAAAAATATTTATGGGAAGAAACTGCTCATCTTTTCTCCTGGAGCAACTGATGGATTTGAACTGCTGTCCCTTGGGTTAGCAGCCTGGCACTATACCAGAGCTCCCTCTTGTAAAGATTGCAGTCCTAAGAAACCCTGTAGGCAGTTCTTCTCTGTCACATTGGGTCACTCTGAGTTGAAATAGACTCAACAACATTTGATAAGGATTGTCACTGAAACATAATTTCTTTTAATTATGAAGAGTGGTAATACAGATTTCAGAGGGAATGTGATGGCAGGAGAAGAGATAAAGGGAAAGAAAACTGAGTTGTGTGTTTATTGTGGTTGACTTGTTTTATTTCTTGGTAGGAACTACAGCCCTCATCTAATTTGGCTTCTGAATATTCTTTGGAGTGTAGCTGGAAATGTTATAGGTCAAAGTTTGCAGACTTTTTCTCTGAAGAATTAAGTAGGCAATACTAGCCTCTGTGGCCCATATGGTTTCTCTCACAGCTACAGAGACAATTTCAAAAGTGAATTAGTATATAAGTGAATGGATATAACTTTGCTCCAGTTAAAAGGTCGAAAGTCACTGAAATAGAGGAAGACCCTCAAAGAGATAGATTGACACAGTGGCTGTAGCAGTGGGCTCAAGCATGTAGGAGATGATGAGGATGGCACAGGGTAAGGCAAGGTTCAGATTTGTGGTTCCTGGCGTTGCTATGACTCCTGGTCTACTTAATGGCACTTAACAACAATAACAGCAACAACGGTGTTAAGCTGACTTTGAAAAGTTGTATGGTATTCCATTTGAGCAGCCCACTTTGCTTCTGTTGTCTGTACCTTTGATGACATTCAGAAATGTTTTGGTAGTCTACCTCCTTTTGTAAGCATATCATTCCCTATATAAACAGCTTCTTAGCTGCTAAAGGTACAAATAAAAGGGTGGACTGTTCCTAATTTTAATGTTTGGTTTGGGATATTTATCTTCTAATGAGATTTTTTGCTGGGTCAGGGTGTTATTTGAGTGAAATATTCTTGCCAGCATCCAAAAACAGCATCAATGTTCTCAGTGTAAATGCCGGTTCACTCATCAATCGTGCCGACTCTCCAGTGTTCCTTGGGGTGCTTTGTAGGGACATTGGCACTGTTTTAATATTTCTGCCTTAGGACAGAGTAGCCCTCCCCGGGTTACATCAGGAACCTTGGAGAAGATGTGTAGATTGTAAGATGAAATACAGGCTGTTGTCCCTTTATTGCCTGGAGTGTAATTTAAATAAATGAACCTTACAAATGTAACTTCCTCTTTTGTGAATCATGAATAATTTGGTAGCATATTCCCAGATCCGAGCTGTAGTTTCTGCTTTCAACATTTGCAATAAAATAATTCTCCTGAGTAGCCGGAATGATATTCATAAATTGGATTTATGCTAATGAAGATCATCGGCAAGGAACATTTGGATAATGTAAAGTTAAAGGGCAAAATGATACTTACTGTGGCTTCAAAGCACGAGAAAGACATTCTGATTATTGTGAAATAATACCTTTTCTTCAGGACACCTGAAAATGAGTAGTTGTCAGGTTGGATTTCACATGTCCCCGTATTTATAGAGAAAAATTTGAAAGGTTTGTGCCTAATAATATGTATTTGTCCAATTTATTTTAATCTATTCCTCCAAAATTTGTAATTAGGTTGTTCTCATCATGGTCTGGGATTTATAGTTACTTGCCTCCTAAATTCTCTTTTCCGCTCCTCTCTTTAATTCTTTAAAGGATGACTGGAAGTAAATTTTCTTTCTAAAATTGGTGTAGTGATCACTTACTGTGTACTATTTTGGAGACCAAGTGTGTTCAAGGTAGTTGTTTGTGTGTGTGTATGTGTGTCAGTTGGGGTTGAGGGAGAGAGAGAAAAGGAAAATTTTAAAGACAAGTTGAAATTACAAATTTTCTATTTTTTAATTTAAAATAGCTTCTTAATGGCATATTTTCTTCAGGAGGAATGATAATTTTTAATTAGAAGTAATAATTGAATTCTGAGTGAACTTGAAGTACCCAGAATGAACTTGGTAGCACAGTTTTGTTTAAAGTCAACGAGTAAAGAAATGTTTTATTGTGAAACAAATGTTTTTGGGTTTTTAAAATATGATATAGTTCACACTTTTCATTTTTATCCCCTTCAGATAAATGTAAATGAAATTACAAGATTTTCGGATTTCCCTTTGTCCAAAAAAACATTGAAGGGTAAGTAAATAGTGATCCTGGGACATGTTATTTAATTTTGATTTTTTTTTTAACATAAATGGAAGAGAGTTCAGAGAGAATTTAACCTGAAAAATCTTATTTTGGCTTGTGATTTGATATGATGGAAACTGCAACAAGAAATAATACTAATTCATTTGAGGTTTTACCAATTTGTCATTATCTGTTTTCCTGACCCAAAACCCACTGCTATTGAATGAGTTCTGACTCAGAGAGATCTTTGTTGGGTTTCTAAGACTGTAAATCTTTAGTGGAGATTGCACATCCTTTCCTCTTGCAGTGACTGGTGGGTTTGAACTGCTAGCCTTTTAGTTTGTAGCCCAGTATATTTTGCACTGTGTCACTGTTATATTGTTGATTGCCTTCGAGTCAAGCATGACTTGTTTAGCAACCCTATGAACAAAAGTCTTCACTCAGGTCCCTCTACAACCATTGACATTTGTCAAAGTTCATAGAGTTTCCAGAGGCATGTTGTTTAGGAAGTGGATGCCATTCCTGCTGTCTAGACAGATTAAGAAACAATGGTGGAAAGAAAAGATGGTAGGAAACTTTGAATAGTTAAAATTAAAAAAACACCAAAAACCAACACAACACCCCAACCTAACCGAGTTGAAATAAGCAAAGAAATAAAATTAACACTTTATTGGAGGAATTTGCTCAGGTACTATTTTCTTCCCCTCTTATACTACCAGGTTTACAGGAAGCCCAGTACCGTTTGGTAACAGAGATACAGAAACAGACCATTGGATTGGCTCTGCAAGGGAAAGATGTGCTTGGAGCTGCCAAAACTGGATCTGGCAAAACTTTGGCTTTCCTTGTTCCAGTGAGTATTGTGCTCATGTTGAATCTGTTCATCTATCACCCAGTTTTATAATCTCTCTTTGTGACTCTTGACATAGGGTACAGTAGACTTTCATGCTAGAATGCTACCCTCAGGAGACAGAGGCCATAACTGTCTTGACTCCACCATATTCCCTAAGCCCTAGCATAGGGCCTTGGATTCAGCAAGCATTTTCTAATTTATGGAGTGAATGAATTACTGTGTCTTGACAAGTCATTACATTCTTGTAATGTGCAGCATTCCCGCATGGTAGGTTAGAATGATTCTGCTCTGAAGTAAGGCAAATAGAGGATGCTCTTGATGTTCTCACCCTTGTAGACTTGTAGTTGAGTGTACACTTGCCACCTGTTTAGGATAAAGCTGAAGTCTTCAGGACTTCAGAACCATTCTTTTGAACTCCCTGCTGAGAATTTGTATTTCTACCCCAAATAAACAGAATCAGAGTCTGCATTTTAAAAAGATCTGCATATGTAAGCCTAAGATTCACACCGGAATTTCAAAGAATCACCTGAAGATTTTGTAAAGATTTAGATTCTGGTTCCATACATGTAAGGCAATTCTCAGTAAGTGGCTGAGGTAGAATGAGCAAGTTTGAAGACGTGGGAATGAGCTTGCTTGAAGGAACTTTGGTCATTGATTGCCAATTTTCTGGGACATTCATAGCTGTTCTTTATAGCAGTAAAACGAGATCCTCTCCAGAATTATTTACATTTCAGTTATGCATCTGATCTTCTAATTTTTAATTTGATTCAAAAAGATCATATTTTAGTTTTCTTCCAAGTATCAGAAAACCAGTTCTTTCTCCTAAATTTTGTTTCCTCTACCCCACGGTATCTTTTCTTTGGCGATTGATTCGCTAGCAGCTGCAGAGAGGAAAGTTCGTTTCAATATGCTTTCTGCTTATGAAATAACTGTCGGTGGGCCTGCCTACACCAGTCTCCGGATAGTATGGCTCTGGCAGTAGTTGAATTACCATGGCATTTCTTTTTCTTTTCTCTCTGAATGAAGAGGGAGATTTCTAGTAGATGATGGAAAAAGAAACAAATCTTTGCTTATTCTGGTTGCATAAATGTCGTGTTTTAGGTGGGTGGTACGTTTGATCTAGAGGGGCAAGATTGAGGCTCAGGGATGGCTTTTCTAAAGACTTACTGATTTCTTATTTTCTGTCTCTTTGTAGGTGCTGGAAGCCTTATACCGTCTGCAGTGGACCTCAGCAGATGGCCTGGGAGTTCTGATAATATCACCTACGAGAGAACTGGCCTATCAGACCTTTGAGGTTCTCCGCAAAGTAGGGAAAAATCACGACTTCTCAGCTGGTCTTGTCATTGGTGGAAAGGTTTGTCCTTTTGTGCTAGCCTTTTCTCTCTCTCTCTCACTTTATAGCCTTCGTTGGAGCACTGTGATAGTTGACAAGGCAGAGGTGGAGAGTTCATCTTCACAGTCTAGTCTCCAGACAAGACTTTGGAGGTGGCGAGTCTTGGTCTGTTGTCCTCTAGAGTCTGTTGTCGCTTTTGTAGATTAAGAAAGTCCATTTGTGAGTATATCTGGACTTAATTAGGTTCTATGTGACTAATACACTGCTGCACTAGACTATAATGTACTAAAAATCATTGGTATGGAGTCAGTTCCAACTCATAACAAATCTCCATTGGGTTCCTGAAGTTGTAATATATACAAGAGGAGAATGCATATCTTTTGAAGAGTGGCTGGTGTATTTGAACTGCTAACTTTTTTGGTTAGCAGCTTGATATATTTATTATGTGCTAGGATACTAGGGCTTCTTCATGTATTCCAACCAATCTTTAAGTTGATTTGTTAATATACAATGAGAAAGACAACCATTTCAGTCTGAGAAAGATTGATTCCCTTTAAAAACATCTGCAAGGGGTTAAATAATTCAGGGCATTACTAGGTTAGAAAAAGAAGAAAAGATGATCATTTTCTTGAAGGATGTTTGTAGTAAAGCATTGTTAAATTTGCTGTTTAACTCTTACTTTGCCTTACAGTTTACCTGAAGTGTTTATATTTACTCAAGGCTATTCTTGACTGAGGATGAACACTTTTTGACATTACTTACACATGTGTACAAAAGGAAATAATAGCATCACACAGGCTCTTACACTTTTATGCTTCTCACCTTGCCTTAACACTTAACAACATTGTGGTTCTAGGTTCCAGGGAGAGCTAATATATAGGGAGTTCAGTTATTTTTTTCAGTTCACAGAGTGGTGTCAGGGAGCCTATTTTCAAAATATGGAAGTAATTCCAGTTTTTCAGTCTGTTCTGGTAGACTTGCTGGGAAACTAAGACTTGAAACATTCATACAGTTAGTATTATCTTTCCCTAACCTTAAAATCTTGGGTATGGTTAAGAATCTAGAAGAACTGTGACCTCTGTATGCCTTCAGGAAGGACTATATTAAGCTCTGAAATTGGATGTGTTGCAGAAACAGAAAGGAGGTGTTAGGTTTATTTCTAAAGTTTCAAAACTACTAGGATGAAATGCCACATGTGTTCTTTATAGTCTTGGTGCACAGCCTGCTTGTAGTAGGGCATGTATTCTAAAGAAACTACACTTTTTCAGGATCTGAAACATGAAGCTGAAAGGATCAATAATATAAATATTCTAGTTTGCACACCTGGTCGACTTCTGCAGCATATGGACGAAACAGTATGTTTCCATGCTACCAATCTCCAGATTTTAGGTGAGTCTCATTTATTTCGCAGGAAGAATTTCAGACGTAGGAGAGAGCTTTCACAGACTCTGATGAACAAATGTTTTATTGAATAAATGTATGGGTAAGAAAAATTTATAGAATAACAATGAAATTTTTAAAAAAATATACATGCAGAAAGCACGAGATTTATTTAGTTTTTTTGATTGTTAAAAGAGCCAAAAAGAAAAGTAATATATATGAAATTAGACACTTCAGGGTTCAACAGTCCTGAGAATATTCTAAGTTCTTGAATAGTGCTGATGGTTCCTGTGCTTCCTGGCCAATCAAAAGACTGGAAGCTCAGATCTAGCCAGAAACACACTGGAAGAAAAGCTTGTGACGTACATCTGGAAACTTAGTCGCTGCAGACCCTTCTGCAGCACGGTTTTACTCTAACACGCTTCACCTTGCCTTGGGATCTACTAATGGCACCTTGTTTCTAAAGACTTTTTTTTTTTTAAGTATTTTCAAAGACACATCTGCTTATGGTAACTTGAAAAATCAGAGTGGCATTTTTTCCAAATTCTTTTCTGAATTGAGAGGAAGAAAAATTGAGAACAAAAAATTCAAATGCAGAAAGACTAAACATATTGGTAATGAACCACTGAGACTCTGGTACTTTGATACCCAACCACCTAGGACAAAAATCTATCATCATGGCTCAAATTTCAGTCAGAAAACAAGACAGGTCCACAAGATGACCAGTGACACTCAACCTGTTAGAATAACCAAACAGGGAAAGTCAAAAGAGCAGCCAGCATTTGCCAAGGATAAAGCCCTAAAGGCAGAGAGGGGTTAGAAGGACTAACAAAAATGAGAAGTACAGGGTGGAAATGGGAAAAGTGCTGTGAAATTGTGAGTTTTGTGTTGTAAAAAATGTGTATATGTGATTGAATGAAAAACCAATATACTTTGTAAACTTTTATTCAAATTACAATAAAAACTTAGAACGAGCTTATATTATCTTTGTTAAGACAAAAACATTGACCTTGCCATATTCCTAAAAATTAACGTCCAGGCATAATTTCCTTAGGTTTCCCACAAGTTTCCTTTTTGCTTGAAAATCTATCTGGTATACTGTCTTGCATTTCTCCTAATACATATGAATACTAACATTCAGCTTGTAATTCCTTTTTTAGTTCTTGATGAAGCAGATAGAATCTTGGATATGGGATTTGCTGACACCGTGAATGCTATCATCGAAAATCTTCCTCAGGAACGCCAGACTTTGCTTTTCTCAGCAACACAGACCAAATCTGTGAAGGACCTTGCACGCTTGAGCTTGAAAAACCCCGAGTATGTCTGGGTTCATGAGAAAGCAAAATACAGGTATGCGCCAGAGTTCACTATTTTAAATAAGTACTACTTTTCCAGGAAATAAAAACATCATTTTGTGAGTTTATTTCTAGATGTGTAAAGCATAGTAAATACATACATTAAAATTTCTCAAAATTCTAGGTAGATCTACCAGATAAGAGAATATTTTAAAACCACCATTTTCCAAAATCTGGTTGAGGGAAAAAATACAATTTTTTTTTCTGTAGGATTTTAATAGATATTTTACGATTCACTAACCTCCTTTTCATAGTACATGTGTTATTTTGAAAGAAATTCTTTTCCCCCTTTTTACTTCAAGACTTCTCAGAACATTTCACTTATTATGTCATGACTAGAAGGACTTTTCAAAGCAATGGAGAGTAGATACAGCTTGTTATATTTTTCAAAATGATTTTATTGTAGAAAATTTCGTTTAGGTGCATTATTTAGGACTAGAGCTGTGGAAACAGTTTATCAATTGCATTAATAAAAATAATTTTCTGTTTAAAATTACACTAGAAATTGCTTTTTTTTTCCTTTTTTCATTATTTTTTTTTTAAATTTTATTATTTTCATGTGTGTGTACCGTCAAATCAGATCTGACTGGTACAGGAGGAGATTGTCCCTCCTTTCTTGGCGGAGCATCTGGTGGATTCGAACCATGCGCCTCTGGGATTGCAGTACAGCTTCTTGCCACTAGGCCACCAGAGCTCCCCTAGAAATTGCTATTTTATTTCTACTAAAAATTTTATAATAATGTGTCAGTGAGT